CCCCCCTTATCTAAGAGCAAGCAGGGCGAAGCCTCTCCGGCTGCTGGGAAGGACGTGGACTATCTTAGAAGCCGGGCTTATGCAAACTGGGATGTAGGCCACCGACTCCCTTTCCATCTTTAGCATCTGGGCTCCCCAGGGGGCCTGGAAAGGAGCACGAGTTGGGGAGACCCAGGTTGCCCTTTGCTCATTCAAGGGAAAAAAAAAAATCCTTCTGTAGTTCTGGAGACCTCGGGGGGATTCAAGGAACACTCAGTCCTCTGCTTCCTCGGGCTTGGGAATTGAAGGCAGAAAGTGGCCTGTGCCTTCGTTCTCCCTTTCCCCTTTGGTTTTCTCGACTTTGTCTAAAGAAAAACTGTTACAGAGCAACTAAGGTCTGGAAAGGAGGTAAGCAGGGGGGTTGCAGGCCCCAGGACAAGAGCCGCACCAGATAGTCCACCGACCCTCCCAGGCGATGACCCTGTGTAACCTCTCCGCCCTGGGTGAGAGCCCCTTTCCCTCCGGCAGCACCCAGGGATTGAAAGCAATGCTAGTTTACTGGGGAGTGCCGCAGAGGCCACCGCCCGCGAGGTGACTTCGGGGAAGAAATACGCCAGCCGGCCGTCTCTGCAGATGCATTTCAAAGGGGAATGAAGTGATTGCTTCGTGTAATTAACTATTGGGACACAGCAAAAGCTCTGAAATGACTCAGCCATTTGTCTCCAGATGGGGTTGGAGTGGCTGCGATTGTTTAACTCTCTTTAGCTGTGTTGGAACTCCGAATGGCCTGGCAGCCGAGGGCCCTCCAGGGGACAAAGGCTGGGACTCCGGTGAGTGCATCAACACTGAACCGGGCTGGCCCAGCTGAGGGAGAGTGAATTCCGAGAGACCCCCATTGTCCCAGGCCTTTGTGTTTCTCCCCAGCTGGCTCTAATCTTTAAATATTTACCCGGCCCTTTTGTGCACTTGTGACTTAGGCACTTCAGGTTGATGTGCTCATAAATTCACATCATTTACCCGTTTCCAGACTAGAGAGAGGAGGCTTTCATGCCTGGAGCCCAGAATGGTCAGAGGAGGGAGAAGAAAACTGTTGGAGGATCAGGGTTCCCTCCCAGGGAGATGAACAGACCCTTCCTGGCCTCCATGTGGGAAGTGGATGAGACGGAGGGCCTGTGAGTGACAAGGAGCCCCAGAGGCCCCTCCGGCAATAACTGACCAGAGACCCACCGGCAGAGGGAGGGGAGAGGCCAGTTCTCAGACCTTTTCTTACTTGGTGTCAAGCTTGGACAAGAGCCAACTTTTCATCCTGGGAAGCTGGTGTGGGTTGAGGTGTTTGGTTCACACCTCACGCTAGCACCTGCGTCTTGCGTGCTTCGCACTTGCTACATTCTCTCTTGCTCCATAAAGCAACCCCGTTTAAGAAAAAGGGTAGGGGCGCCTAGGTGGCTCAGTCGGTTAAGTGCCTGACTCTTGATTGCGGCTCAGGTCATGATCTCATGGTTCGGCTCAGGTCATGATCTCATGGTTCGCGAGATTGAGCGCCCCCCCCCCCCCCCCCCCCCCCCCCCCCCCCCCCCCCGCCCCGCCCCGCCCCAGTCCTGCTCTTTGCTGACAGCAGGAACCTGCTTGGTATTCTCTCTCTGCCCCTCTCCCACACACTCTTTTTCAAAATAAATAATCATAAAGAAAAGAGAGAGAGAAAAAAAATTAAAAAAAAAAGAGAGAGAGGCTAATTTCATCTCAGCCTACAGTTTCACTTGGAAAAGTCAAGCTGGTTCTTAGGACTCTTTAAGCAGGAGGAAACTGCACTTAGACCCAAGATGGAAAACCACCTCAGCTGGTGGGTGAATAGCAGGATGGGGGCGGGGGGGGGGAGGGGGATGTGTAGGGGAGACCCTGCAGAGGGACCTTCCTGCATGAGAAAGGGCTCCCTTTCGCCTTGCCTCCCAGCTCCAAGAACAAAACACATTCAAATGCTTCTTTACAAAAGAAGGCAAGTAAGGCATCCCAGGGCTGAGTAGTTTTCCTTTTATTTTCTTATATTTTTACGGGTTTGTTGTTCTCCTGCCTGGGGATGAGAGACAGATGCAGAGTGGATTTCTTTGATCAGATTGCTTTTCTCTGGTAGGAAAGCAGGACTCATTGTGTGTTTCTGTCCCTATCGCTGGTTGAATTACTGTTACTCTGTGCATCTCTGTATCTGTGTGTGTGACTTTGTTTCTCTGGGTCTATGCTAGTGTGTGCATATATTTGCTCACTTGCCTGTTTCCTCCCTTACTGCTCTGTGAGCCCTGGGTCCTGACAGATTCAGCAACTCCAGTCACTTCTAAAGATCCCCCTTCCCTCAGGTCTGGCCATACCTGGGAAGAGACTGCTTCCCCTTCCTTTCTTCCTTCTCCAAGATGAGGCTTGATGAGGTTTTGGGGTGATGGTGGGGGGTTGGAGCCCACAGCCAAGAAAGGACTCTCAAAGATGTCTTTGGTGCAAAAAAGGTGATTTTATTAAAGCACGGGACGGGACCCGTGGCAAGAAAGAGCTGCACTGGGGTTGCAAAGAGTAACTGATTTATATACCTTCAGGTTGGGAGGGGGTTAGGGACAGAGTAAGTCTCTAAGAAATTTTAGAAGAAAGGTTTCCAGGACCTTGAGGGTCTAGCTGTTGTTAGCAAAACGTCATTTATTACTGCTTAGTAAAACCTCAGTCATGAGACCCTTCAGATGTGTATCAGGAGTCATATACTTGGAGTTTAATTGCCAACATATACTTGGGGATTAAAGATAAATAAGGTTTGCAAAATAATTTTTATGTGTTTAAGGAGACTCACAGGATCCTGGGGGGGTGTCAGGATAATGTTAAGCCAAGATTCCCTTTTGCCCCTAGCAAAGTGTCATCGTCCAGGCAGCTGAGCTCCTTGAGGGAGGTTGCTCACTCTGCCCCTTTCAAGGACTCATCACTGGGCTGTGGGCAGTAAGGGAATTCAATTTTTCATTTGCCTTTGTTTCCCACATCACCATGGCAAGCACTTAAACCCCCTTCCATCTTGGTGAGGGTGCTATTAGGGCTCCAGGAAACGGAGTCTATAGGTTTCTGGAGATTATGGAGAAGATTGCTTTTTACTTGCAGTTCACTAAGTTATCCGTAGACTGAAGGAGACTCCTGTTCTGTATGACTGGGATCTCCATCAGTCAGACATTTGCTTTCTTTCTTTTCCCCTGTTCTTGAGCAGTCAGGAGTGTCGGAGGAAGACACAGATATCCCACCTGGGGTGGGGTGGGGGTGCTGTTAGCCTGTACTTTGTCCTCAGCTTGCCCCATGTTCCCTAATCAGGGCTGATGGAGAAGGATGGTCTGAAGTGATGGGCAAAGGAGAGGGGGTTGCCTGGACTGGCTGAACTGGATTTCATGTTACTCTTTGCCCCCAAAAGGGAGCCAGTCCCGGGGGGGGGGGGTAGATCAAGGCCCTAAGTCAGTGTGGACAGCAGATGCCAATGGCCAAAGGCACCCTGGAGATTTAATGTTTTAAAACACAAAGTTGGGGCGCTTGCGTGGCTCACTTGGTTACACATCCGACTCTTGGTTTCAGCTCAGCTCATGATCTCACGGTTTGTGAGTTCGAGCCCCATGTCCAGCTCTGTGCTGCCAGTATGGAGTCGAGTTGAGATTCTCTCTCTCTCTGCCCCTCCCCACTTATGCTCTTTCCCTCTCTCTCAAAATAAATAAATAAAACTTTTTAAAAGAGTTAAACAGACTTAAAAACAACAAAAACA